CGATAAATTGTGTCAATTTTTTTTTTTTGTTTAAGAAAAATGTATTAATTGATTTATCGTTGATTAAAAAACATTTGCAAAATACGAGAAATATCGGAAAATAAATTTTTAGATGGTCGACCAAAAGTTTGAAGTGTTCGCGGGAGTTCTTTAAGAACAACACGTTCCCAAGTATTATCAATACCATTTTCAGCTCCAATCAATCCGGTTATTCCACCATATCCTTTCCATTGTGCTGGAGGTGGTTTAGGTAATGGATTTGATGTGGAATCTTAAAATATTGATTTGGAAAAAATTATTGAATATAAATTTTTATTGGTAAATTTATAGATTTCATTTATATTCATAAAAATTTATCAAATTATTTTACCCTGAATATAGCGTAGTGTAAAGTTAGCTGGTCCTTTCAAATGCAACAGATATGATGTAAATTTGATTGGTTGCCGAAATAATATTACCTGGTACAGCATTACAACATTGCCTATAATCATCATCTTACATTTGTTTTATATCATCATTTTTTTGTTTGATCATTAAATAATTTAGTTTAATGAATTTTTAAAATTTGAAACAACCTAAATCCAGTTTGTTCCAGCATTATTCCATGTTTTATCTCCAGATAATTATCAGCACATGATGAATCACATATATATGTTGCATCTAACACCTCTAAATGCACTTTTCCTTGTGGTGCCTATAATTAAATATCACAGCAAAAATTGTGAATGTAAAATGTTCAATATTAAAAACGTTAAAATTTAATTTTAATTAAATTGAAATTTTGCATTAATTTTCACGAAACATACAATTATTTGCTAGAATTAAGAATAAAAATAATCGAAGTGTAATTTTAATTAAATTAAAATTTCTATTTAATTTTTATAAAACTTACAGTTATTCGCCAAAAGCAATTTCCAACGATATTATTTTTTAATGTAAGCCATTTATCATCAGCTATCAGTTCACCTCCACAACCCACTAAGCTCAAATAATGTATTCATTCATAATGAATTTAATGCATGAAATTTATCCACTATTATTTAATCAAATATTCAATTTAAGAAGAGCTTTTAATCTGTCAAAAATATCAGAAACTACTCAAATACTTAATACAATACTTTTATTACTGATTAACACTGTATATCATATGTTAAATGTAAACAAGTATCAGCTTTTTAAAATACATTAATTATGTAGGTAAATTATTTACCTGAGTAATTAGAAAGATTTAATCAAATTTGTCAAATAAATTTATTCGTTATATTTTTAGAAAAGAATGAAAAAAAAAAAAAAAGTTATCTGATAATATATAACTTACTTGTAGATCGTGGTATACTTTCGCAACGTATACCAGCACTTCCTCCTGGACATTTACAAATGGCGCAATTTCGTGGATCTTCATAACCACCATTCAAACAATTCAGTTTTATTTTACATTTATCTTAAATTATCAATATTATTTATTAAAATCAACTATTTAAATGTTTTGCAAAAATTTGACTTAAAATTCAGGTGATAATTTACAAAGTAAAATGATAAATTAAAGATATCATGAAGATAAAGTAACAGTTTAGAAAAAGAAATGATAATTTTTCATATAAACACAAAAAAAAAAAGGTAATATTTGCTAGAGAATAAAGAAACATTTTTGGATTAATTTATTTCAAAACTTTCCCACACGTTTAAAATTATTAATAAATTTTGATATATAATTTGATATAATTAAATTTGAACAATTACCGCCACAATACATTCGATTTGCTTCTTTGATATCGATAAAGGAAAGATCATTCCTTTGACCGATTGTATGCTGAAAGCGATGATCTTTCGTTTCGATTGTCACATAATGATAATCATTAGTAAATGCCTATAATAAATTAATGTTAATTTATAATTTTTAAAATTAATTTTTCAAATTTCAATTGTTAGGGCATAGTTTTCTTAAAGTGTTCAGTGCATATTAAAGATGAAAATGGAAATTTGATATAAGAAATACAATTTAAATTAACCTGTGGACCGTAATGCATTACAGAACCAAAATCATATGGTACATCCATAATTGCAATATCACTCCTTTTTTCAAAGTTCCCTTTGGTACCCGGAAATATATGATCTTCATTGATATTGATATATCTAAATTTAAATCCATCTTTAAACAATAATATTCTAATTTCCCAGATATTTAGATGTCTAAAATTATCGAATAAAACGGAAAATCAAATTACATATCACGATCCGGTCGACTTTGTTCATGCCAAAATCCAAGAGCATGTCCCAGCTCATGAGCAACAATTCCACCCTGTAAAAATTGAAATCATGAGTAGTTTTTTATACAAAACTTTTAAATTTCTGTTTTTTTTTTTTTTTAATTTAAACTTTCATAACTTACGCTTTCACAACCATAACCAATAGAAGTATACTGCTTGCCACCAATTCTACCGACGCTTGAATAACACCTAAAAAAAAAAAATACCTGGATTATTTTAATTTAATTCATACGAAAAAAATAAACCTATTTCTCAT